CTCTCATTTATCTGTTCAAAGAGCAGTGGTACCTTCGGACGGGGGCAGGGGGGCTATCACCATTGTTAGCTTTTTTGTTCATCAAGACCAATGAGAAACATTACCTAGTTCACACACACACACACACACACAAACACATTCTAAAGCTCAAGAGATTAAATGTTGAAGGCCTCAGATATTAGTTCAATAACAGCCTCTTGTTGATGCAAATCTTACAGAGCTACATTATCGTTAAATAAACTTTTCAGAATAACCAGCAGAGTAAAGGGTTGTGGAAGGATACTAAGGTGATAAGGAAACTTAATGATCATCCACACCAACCCCCTTTGTTTTACAGAAGAAACTGAGACCAGGGAAGTCATTTTCCCTTTTAATTAGAAAACACAACTGGTACTAAAATCCAGATCTCCTCCCTTAAGAATAATGTTCTGTTTTTCACAGTCCTTTACCTCGGCCTCAGTAATTCCATCCTTTTGGGACATGCTTAGAAGCCGGCAGTGTAGCTGTGTCATGTCCAGCTCTATATTTCTCTTCTGTTTGTATCATTGAGAAGGAAACACAACAGAAAAGGACCTCCAGGATGTGACAGAGCTCCCATTCCAAGGCAGTGAAGTAATTCAGCTAGCCAGTAGCCCAGAAGAGCAGAGTGGGATTGAGATGCTCAGAGAGTAGAACAGAGCCCCAACCTGCCCTTATCCACATTATCTACTATTTGATGCACTTGAAGAGGAGCCAACAGTGATTCTGGCTCGAAGATGTTGGAGAGAAGCAGTCATTGCTATCATCTTGCAGTCAACGGCTGGGTAGTGGGAATGGAGGAATGGTTTCAGGAAGGGGCAGAAATGGACTTACCATGAACCCAAAGAAACTTAAACTTCACCAACTTGGACACTTCCAGGTCCCGGGAGATGCTCTAGTAATTTTGTATTTATGATTCGGGGTTTTTTTTCCCTTAAACAGTTCCCCTCAAATTGTAGTTTAGGCTCTACAGAACCCCTAAGAATGGGATGTGCTAAATAGTCTAGTGCCCTCTAGAAACGCCTCAAAAAGTGTCAGTGACCTGCTTTATTAGCTACTACAACAAGTCCAAATGACCACTCTTTGGCCGTCCTTTATATTTATTAAATTATATCAGTAAGACTTTTAAAAGTAGATGAAATAATGTTTAAATCTTTACAGTTTAAGTAATAGACCATCCTTTCATTCCAATATTTAGAATTTCTTTCCCCTTGGTTCATTATTGAATTTAGTTAAACAGTTTCTATTGAAATTATATTTCTGCATAACAAGTATAACTTCAGAAGCAGTTATAAGTGAAACGTTAAGAAGAACTATTTTGTATATTTGTTGCCTGTTCACGCCCTGGAAATACGGTATACAAGTAGAAACCCTGAAAATCTTGATTTCTATTTAGATGGAGATTTATCATTATTTGTGAGATATGTCCAGTATGTTTTCACTGTAAAACCACAAATAAAGTTTTCACAATGGGCATTTTTCTTGTTGAGAGGTCTGTGGTCAGACTAAACATCTCTCTGAACCTGATTTCGTCCTGAGGTTTTCAAATTCAATATTCAGCAAATATAGAGCATTTGTTCGGCCCTAAGAAATAATTAAGAACTTCAGAGCTACTGAAACTCTCTTGAGCCTACCCCTCTTTTCTGATGACCTGATAATCGGACATAACCTCTCCTGGTCTTGGGCCTCATCATATATGAGATTAAGGTGGAATAAATCACATACAATTAATCTTTTAAGGAGCTAGGTGACATTTCTTTAGGTTTTTACATTAGCAAGTCCTTCATTTGCTAATACTCAAGTAATGGAAATTTTATATGTTATTAAATGCTTTATTTCTCCTTCCTCATTCCCAACTATCTTGAATCCAGAAAAATAGACACATGGCCATTCTGTGAAGACAAAAGAACATTGAATAGCTAATTATACAACAGCCAGAACTATCCACTGTGTATTCATTCCTTTGACAGATCACTGGAGGGTAAATTAGCATCTTTAGTTTGAAATCTTACAAAATAGAAATGGGATTGTTTTAGCGGTTTCACGGTTTGCATAGTAATCATTATACTTCATGGAAGTTCTGACTCAAAATAACACAAAGCTCTGAATAATGGGAAGCGGGATGTTCTATAAATGCTCCACATGGGATAGGTACCCCTACTGATGAAAAGTATTTAATAATGTCTAAAATTCACTTTTCCTGTATAAACACAATGTCACTGTAATCCTAGGGACTGCATTTGCTTTCTTAGAACTGGACTCTCTTTCTTCCGATGATAGGCCTAAAATAAAACATGCACAAGTCACTGAATGGTTTCTGTAGCATTTTCACTGCTGGAGGGGACCTCCAGAGGTCACCTCATTCGTCTGGATCTCCAGCCAGGACTCTCCCTAATACAGAATATAGCTGTATAGCGATCTGCATTAAGAAAGCTTTTAAAGATCCCTGGGGTTGGTCAAAAAATAGCCAATATTGGCCTGATTCATAAGAACAGCATTATACGTATGTCAAAATAGCCACATTCATCACGGAGGACATCCATCAGAGCTAAGTGCTAGGAGTAGTTTCAAAAGGAAAAGCTTTATTTTCTCAGAGAAAAGGGCGGTAGATTAAGGACATGACCAAGCGTGTTGGTATTTTTTGTTTAGGTGTACATTTAAATGCTTATCAAAAAGGAAACGTCATTTTGTCAAAGACCGCTGCAGGAGAAGCCCGGAAGTGGCTGTAAGCAAGCGGATTGCCACTCCTTTAACAGTCTTTTCAAATAGCGACAGAGCTCAGAGCAGGGGCTGTTGTTTCAAACAAGGTCTGATTACCATCAAGCTAGTGAAGGGCAGATGGTGAAACAGAATAATATTTACAGACCCGCTTTTCAAGTGATATCTTTTCCCCTTAATCAGCTGAGTTTGTTAGAGCTGAAAATTTTATTTCTTCAACTCCATTAAAATGTGGGTGCCAAGGACAGGAGTTTAAGTGTAATTTCAATCTTCGAAAACAACTAATCACAGTACTGTTTTATAGGGAAAGTAATCCCCCATGATTGTTAAACTTCTAAATTATTGGATTTGAAGCACTACACCACAATCTAGAAATCTAGCTAAAAGGAGAGCCGATGTTCCTACCTGGACTATTTGGGACTTGAAGCCTTTCAGTTGAACTATACAGAGAACGTAAAGATACAGCTATAGCTATTTATAAAGTGAGGAAAATGACCTGCCCTGATAATTGTCCCAAGTATCCACTTGATTTTGTGTATTAACATTGCATTTTTTCAAGTACTATTTCTGAAAGTTTACATAAAAGCCTGGCCAACCATGAGTACCTTCAGGGTTGGGAACTGGGGGGCTGGGTGGAAATGTTTTTTACCACCTACCCTCTTGCCAACTTTCAAATTTTGTGCTTGTGCTTCCTGCAAAGAATTCATATGAAAATATTTCATTTTTAAAAACAGAAAGGCACCCCTATGCTCTATTATAAGGCCAGATGTTCCGTCTGGGTTACAGGAAGCAGAAAGCTCTGACTACTCTCCCCACTTTCTTTGTAATTCTTGACTTTAGAAATGGGAATTCCACTACTGAGAGCTTTTTGTTGTGCAGCCACCTTTCTCAGAGAACACTAACCTACTAAACAACTAACCAAGTCTTCAGGTCACCTTTCTTCTTCCTTTGTGAGAGCAGGAGACAAAAGAACAAGATCTCTCTGCAGGATCTCCTTGGCTATACATCATTCCCACGGTGGATACCTAACCTTTGAGTCAATGTGCAGTCTACACATACACCATAAAACTCAGGTACTAAAGGCAAAGAGTGCTTCCTTAGTTACTTGGATATTTGGCAGAGTAGTTTTTTTCTCTCCCTTAACCTGCTCACACAACTGTCCCTAACTTGCCATTTGTGTACACAACCTGTAAGAAGTGCTATTTTTTAAAGTTATCAACCTAAACAGATCACCACAGCAGAATCCAGAAATTCCAAATAGAAGAAACTGAATCAGGTTTTTTTTTTTTTTAAAGATTTTATTTATTTTATTTTTTCCCCCCAAAGCCCCAGTAGATAGTTGTATGTCATAGCTGCACATCCTTCTAGTTGCTGTATGTGGGACTCGGCCTCAGGATGGACGGAGAAGTGGTGCCTCGATGCACACCCGGGATCCGAACCCGGGCCACCAGCATCGCAGCGCTTGCACTTAACCACCAAGCCACAGGGCCGGCCCTAAACTGAATCAGCTTTAAAGAAAGATAATCAAAATGAAAGGAGTATGAAGAAAAACAGAGTAGCAGATTCTGTAGTTTTTATTACAAAGTTCAAACCCTTTACGTGCTCTGACATTAAATGTCATATATAAGTTCATTGCAAGCAAATCTTTTAAAAAATATACATACTGTATATATTTACATTCAAGTTTGAGTAACTAGTGTCAAGTTGTAGTTCAGGTTCTAATTTTTACCCACCCTGTGGATTTGTTCAGCTACTGACTAAACAGCGATTGTATCTTCACTCAGGCACATGAAGAGGTAGAAACTGGTTTTTAAAGGAAAAAAACAACTACAAGTGCAAATGTGAAGAAGATCATGGAAGCAGCTTAGCTACATCAAGGATACCCTAACAGGCTGTGGTCATCTCAAGAAGCTGAATACGTGTAGCCTCGCCGTTTATTTATTTTTTTAAAAAAAAAGCATTTTTTATTTTTTAGTGAGGAAGATCAGCCCTGAGCTAACATCCATGCTAATCCTCCTCTTTTTGCTGAGGAAGACCAGCTCTGAGCTAACATCTATTGCCAATCCTCCTCCTTTTCTTCCCCCCCCCCAAAGCCCCAGTAGATAGTTGTACGTTGTAGTTGCACGTCCTTCTAGTTGCTGTACGCGGGACGAGGCCTCAGCATGGCCGGAGAAGCGATGCCTCGGTGCGCCGCGGGGATCCGAACCCGGGCCGCCAGCAGCGGAGCACGCGCACTTCACCGCTAAGCCACGGGGCCGGCCCCGTCCTTTAAATTAAAACCAGAAAAACTTCGGGCAGATGCTCTTCTGAGCACATCAGGTGGTTGGCAGAGCTCAGCAATTAATGCTCTGCCACTCTGCACCCAAAATTGCATATGACTAAGTTACGCAACATAGCAGCTGGGCTGGGTGCCTTTTCCCTAAGGCACAACTAATACACAAACACGTGGCTTAAGAGACCTCAAATTAATATCTGTACACTCACAGCCTGGCACTCAGAAGCCGACTAAGATACTTCTCTCTCAAGTGAAACGTCTCGATTAATCTCTGCCCACACCCACCTCCATCCCAAACTAAGTCTAGATAGGGATGGAGTGACCCATGACTTCTGCAGACCAAGGTTCCTCAGCCCAAAGACTAAACCTCATGAAGGCTCTTGGGCCTGAGAAGGGCTCCCTGGGTTCTTGCCAGACTTGGTGGGACTCCTTCCTGAGAGGGGAAGTTGGAGGGAAGCCACAGGGGTGGCTGAGGGCAGAAGCCCTTCTCGTTCCCTTTTCTTCTGTTTCATCCTGCGGTTTTGGAACCAGATTTTGACTTGGGTGTCATTCAGCTGCAAGGAGTTGGCTATCTCGATGCGTCGGGCTCGAGTTAAGTACTTATTGAAATGAAACTCCTTCTCCAGTTCTGTTAGTTGCTTGGTGCTGAAATTGGTGCGGATCGCGCTGGAGGGGCTGGCGGCTCCATACTCGGCGAGTTTGCCTGCAACGTAAAGACAGGGGGTCAACGGGGCCAGAGGACGCGGGGACAGAACGCGGGCGAGCAACGGGGCTACAGTTAGAAACAAAGTCACAGCGCAGCCCTCCTGGGTCTCTGTAAACACACTTGTGCCAGTAGAAACGCTCCACGGAGAGCTCCTTCTTGCAATTATCTCAATGCCTGGCACATTTTCAGAGCGTGTCCTCGGGGCACGCTCCATGGAATTCGCCCACTTTGATAAGGAACGCGTTTCCTCCATAAAACCCAAATCGCTGTCTAGAGGGACAGCTGTGATGCGCTCCCAGCGCAACGCCGCGGAGGAGGCTCCGTCTCCAACCCCAGCTGCGTCGGTCCAAGTCCCAAGTACTCACTTTTTCTAGGGGCGTTCCTCTTCACTTTCATCCACTCGAACGTGCTGAAGGCGGCAGGGAGGCCGGAGGCCGGGGAGGCGCACTTGGGGTAGGCGCCAGGGGCCGGGGACGCGGTCTGGAAGGCCCCAGAGTGGCCGTCGCCTGGCTCTTTGAGACACGCCGGGAAGGGGCCGGGCTCGCCGAAGGCCGCGTAATCCACCTGAGCGCTGAGGAGGAAGGAGCCGCCACCCGAGAAGACGGCCGAGGTGGCGTAGTGGACGTGCGCCCCGCCGTCGTCGGCGGGCCGCCCCAGCGCGCCCGGGAAGTCGTAGGCGGGCCCCGGCCCCAGGAAGCTGTAATCCGCGCCCCGCGCCGCGGCAGGTGCGGCGCCCTGCTCGTAGGCCCCCTCCAGGCTGCACGGCGCGTACGGGGGCGCGGCCGAGGGCGGCGCGGGCGGCGGCGCGGGGGTGGCAGGGGGCGAAGGCGCGGGGCGCGCCGCAGCCAGAGGCAGGCAGCTGACGAAGGCGCTGTCGCCGCTGCCCAGGGGGAAGGCGGGCTGCAGGGCCACGGGCAGGGCGTCGGCGCGGCAGAACTTGGGCGCCAAGCTCAGCACGTCGCCGCCGCCCCCGCCGCCGGCGCCCGACACGTACTCCAGGTAGGAGCTCATGGTTCCGGCCCACCCACCTGAGTGCGCGGGCCGGGGTGCGGGGCCGGGGACCGCCGCGCCTCTCTACCCGCGCTGCCCTTACCGAGCCATGGCAAGCAAGCCGGCGGTAAATAGTGGCCTAATATAGTGGCGGGGGTGACCACGTGGCGCAGGCCGGCCAATGGGCGCCTTCCCCGCACGGCCCGGGTCCAGACTGGCGCGCAGCTCCACGCGCCCGCCCCGCCGCCAACTTTGCCAAACCTGCGGGAGGCCGCCGCCCAGCGCCCCCAGGCCCGGGGGAGAGCCGGCACCGCCCAGGGGCCGCCTGGGGAAGGGCGGGGCGAGAGCGCAGGATGCCTGCTCCCTGGGCAGGTATGGGATGAGGCGGGGGGGAGAAAGGCGGGACTGGCCGCTCGGGGGAGGGCGAGAGGATGGAGAGGGCGAGAGCTAGTTCTTCTGGACCGTGGGTGGCTAGTCCCTCGAGAGCGGATTGTGCGCGCCGCGGTGTGGAAGAGGTTACAAGGGAGCGTGGAGCTCGGCCCGTGGGGACTGCTCCTAGCCCTTCTCCAGGGAAGGTAAAGTTATTCCTCTTCCCTTTCTCTCGGAGTTCTATGTGCTTTCGGTTTCCTTGGCACTGGTGTTATCCCTTTCCTAAACCTGGAGTAGATGTTTGAATTTCCCTCTTTTCCCCCTCCCGCCGATCCATGGGACTCAATTTTATGCTGTAGGTGCTGTGTTCCTGGTGAGGCACAAAATCTTCACTTTTAGACTAGATATTCACGTTACTTCGCAGCATTCCCTTCATCTTCCACTCCTTCCATTTGTGGCGGCATGATAAGGGCGAGTGTTGGGGTGCCAGGTTTTGATTTGGACAGAAGATAAAGTTTTTGCCTAGTGGGGAAGTTTAGCCGATTTCCGCCTCTGACTAGGTTGTCAAAATAAAGCATCTGCCCTTGTGGTGGAGCGCTCGCTCGTGGTGCTCCTCTCTGGGAGGCTGGCACACGCACCGGTGCTGCGCACGCTTTCGCCAACTCGCTTGGCTCGAGAGCGCAAAGGCTTCCCAGGGACGGGTCAGATCTCAGAGGTTTGGACGGGCTTGTACCTCGAAGCAATTAAAGCTTCTGTTCCATCAGATAAGTGCTGCGTCGTCTCTTGCAGTGAAATCTGAGGGCTCACAACGTTAATGGGCTCACGTCTTTCCCTTGATAATATGGTTTTGTTTACTGAGTGTAGAGAGCCGGGAAATAAAAGTGCAACTGGCACAGGAAATGAAGAGTAGAGGAGTTACAGAGACAAGCTTTACATTGACAAACTTTCCAACTTCCTTGAACATTTCTTTTAATGTTTCCCACTCTGTGGCTGTTGGAAAATAACAAATTAAATAAATAAGTGTTATTTACACACAGCAGTAGTGAAAGAGGGTGGTTTCCTAAAACTCTGTGTGAGTCAAGAGTCCTCTTGGCTTGTTCAAGTGCCCTTGAGAACTTGATCTGTTACAGCCTCTGAGTTATGGTGACCGAGGTTTTGTTATTGTTTTACTGATCCACTTGTCATGAAAGAGCGATTGAGCCCTTGCCTAAAATTCCACTCTGAGAAAGTCTGGAAAATAGGAGCCATCACAGTCCAGGGAGCTGGTTCCTTACAGGGATGTGAACTTGTGGATAAACAAAGCAACACCAAAAGTGTTAGTGCTGGTGAGGCTGAAGCTGAGCCAAGATGGGGAGGGCAGCAGGTAGAGGGTAGACACCTAGAGGGTAGACACAAAGCTAAAGGGGTTGGGGGTTCCTGCTCTGCTGAAATTCTTGGATTTGATTGGGAAGTAGAATCCTGTGCTAAAATAGCCCTTCAAGGGCTGGCCCCCTGGCTTCGCGGTTAAGTTCACGCCCTCCGCTGCTGGCGGCCCGGGTTTGGATCCCGGGTGCACCCCGACGCACCGCTTCTCCGGCCATGCTGAGGCCGCGTCCCATATACAGCAGCTAGAAGGCTGTGCAACTACGACATACAACTATCTACTGGGGCTTTGGGGGAAAAAATAAATAAATAAAATTAAAAAAAATAGCCCTTCAAACTTGATGTTGCTACTTCAGTTTTCTTCTGTAGCCAATCAGATTACAAAGGTCCTAGATCATTTTTTGAAAAGAGAAAGGTAAAGGCTCTTCTCTAGCACCCTGGTCAGGAGATGATAGAGTTGTTCAGACCTAGTTCAGGCTTCAAAGGTAGAAGCATCTCTTCACTGTCCTCTCTCTGTGCCCTTAACGCAAAAGTATCAGCAAGTTCGATGCTGCTGAGTTCACAATGCCCCCTCATCCATCCCTGGCTAGACTGTAATAGCCAATTTTTACCAGCGTAATGTCCCAGCTCTCACACTCCTATTTCAAAACTGTAAGCCTCGCTCTCAGAAGGTACTCATCTGATCATAACTCCTAGGCCCAAAGGACCCAGAAGGTCCAGAAGAATGGCCTTGTAAACTTCTCTGGAGAAGATGTCCAGCTGCCTGCAACCCAGGATGTAGGACAGAAAACCCAGCCTGAATGTCTGGCAAATCTGAGCAAAACCTATCAAATTAAGAGCCTTGTCTCTAAGGTTTCAGGAAAACCAGGCAGGCAGCCCAGGTGCCTTGGCAACCTTCATTGCGACAAGGACCAGGTTTTTGCTGTTAAGCATTTGGGGCAAAGGTTGGGTCCTTCCTGTCACAATTAAACATTGACTTTGATGCACCCATGAGCTGTCCACACTATTTCCCTGAAGCAAAATTTTGGAGGTTGATCTTTTGGTGAGGGAATATGTCCTAAAAGAGAATGAGATTTTTTAAACGTTGTGTTTTGCTTTCACAGCTGTGCGTGAGACTAGATGAATGGGGTGTTTAACGTTTGTTCAGATCCAATAGTAATTCCCTGATAATTGCATAGAGAGCTACATTCTGTGCATCCTTCTCTCTATTCCTCTTAATCTCCCAGTCTTGGGCATATCCTACACCTTGGGGCTCAGAGTTGCCATCTCCACTCCTGGGCTGGTTCTTGACTTGCTCAGGTTGGAAATCAGGACTCTGGTCATCTCAGACTCAGATTCAACAAACATTTGCCAAGGACCTACTGTGTAAGAACCTTTTGCTAGGGGAGTTCTAGGCTGGGAAAAAAGATATTCTCAAACCAAAGGAACAAGGGATTCATTTCTGGTGCAAGTCTTAGCTATACCATAGCTATACTTAGCTAAATCTATTCCAGAAGAATCTGGATCTATAATTTTCTAAGGAGAGAGTGGAAGATATTGGGGGAAGTGTGGTAGAAAGATGTGAATATAGGATATTATGAGTAACTTTAAAGTTTGTCTCCTAGATGTTTACAGGGTATGGGAGAAGTATCTTACTAATTTTATTGCTTGTTCAAGTCATGAATTCCCCAGGGTCACTTGCCCAGCTGGGTCCCCATGCTGTGAATTCTCAGCTGGAGGTGACAGCAGAGGGGCCTGATTGCCAGGTTGTGTTTGATGTAGGAATGCTTTGAAATCTCTCCCATCCTGCTCACCACAGCAACCACCCCCTACCCACCCCCATCACTACCTTTCTCTCCCATTTGAACAACAACAAGTTTCTTTTCTGAAGACAGAAGTGATAGAGGGTAGCGGTCTGGTCTTCTGTCTGTTTACAGTTGTTCCCAAGAAGCCTCTTGCAACCCCTGTCCACAAGCCCCACCGTGTTACCCCTTGGAGATACTTGAGCACATGCAAACTCTTGGCTCCACAGCCCCAAAGGATAGAAAGGCTCTTGCTTGTTGGGGTAAAAAGAAGGGAGGAGTCTTCTCTTAAGCAAGATTTGCAGTTCTGGGCAGCATCCTTCAGTCATCCCAGGGTGGAGGTGGGGATGAAAGGGATCCTAAGGACAGGAATTCTAAACCTGGTGGAAGTCTGATAACGTGACCCTTCCTGAGGAAAACAGTTTAGAGTGCTGTGTCTTTCCCTGAGAGCTTTATGAATGAAAGGCTCATGGGTCAAGTCCATGCCCGGCACACAGTAGCCATTTAATAAATGTTTATTGGATAGAAATAAAAATGGACAGAATGGTGTGTCTTCACCATGACTAACATTGGCTAAAGGATATCCTTAGATTATTGGCTCCCAAAACCACTTCATGTGGGTAGGAATCACCATAGAAGCTTGTTTAAAATTACAGGTTCCTCAGCCTACCCCCAGAGATTTTAATCCAATAGGTCTGACTCAGGAATCTTTAATTTTGTGTGTATGTGAGGAAGATTAGCCCTGGGCTAACATCCATGCCCATCTTCCTCTACTTTATATGGGCCGCTGCCACAGCATGGCTTGACAAGTGGTGCCTAGGTCCACACCTGGGATCCGAACCTGTGAACCCCGGGCCGCTGAAGCAGAGCCTGTGAACTTAACCACTATGCCACCGGGCTGGCCCTGAGGAGTCTTTATTTTTAATAAGCCTCTTGGGTGATTCTAAAGCAAGCTTTCTTGGAGCCACACTTATGGAATTTTTGCTTTAGGAGCTTGGGGTGGGGGGCCAATGTGGGGAGAGAGGGATGATTCTGTGGGAGGTGCCCTTGACCAGCATAATGGGAGCTCATGGCTAGCTGGAGCATGAGTATACCTGAAAAGTGTCCAGAAGCCTGGTGGGTGGTAGGGGCAGAGAGGTCAATGTCAAGGTCAAACTTAAGTGTAGTTGGGCTGAAGTTCCAGAAAATATCCTTAGGTAGTTGGTAGGAGTTTCCCAAGTTTTGCTGACACGATAGTGCTTTGCAGAGACCTGGCTCACTTCTGCTCCTTGCCACTTCCCTAACTCAGCTTTGAGGATGCCAGTGGGGGAGAAAGGGAAAAGGATTTGTCTTTCCCAGTCTCTAGAGAAAATTTAGAGTGGTTCTGAGGCAATGGGAAGAAGGAAGGAGTAGAAATGGGGGTCTCAAGAGGGAGGAGCCAACTCTCATTTCCTTCCATCCCTCCCACATTGTCTGGAATGAGCATTTGAGCCCCAGGCATCCAGAAGGGGCAAAATATCCCTTCATCTAAGCGGTAACTCTTCCTCTGGCTAAAGACTGACCTTACAAAGC